TGGGTGCTATGGGCTGGGGCTCAGACGTGGCTCACACCAATCTGGCCTCAGGACTCTCTTGTCCCAGCAGATGCGGGAGCTACGGCATGAGAATGTCGCCGCCTGCCTGGGCTTCTTTGTGGCCCGTGGGGTTAGTGCCCTGGTGCTGGAGCACTGCTCCCGGGGCAGCCTGGAGGACCTACTTCAGAACGAGGCCCTGAGACTGGACTGGACCTTCAAGTCCTCCTTGCTGCTGGATTTGATCCGAGTGAGGTCCCTCCCGGGCCGTGGGTGGTCAGCAGAGGGGGTTGGGAGGTGACAGCCTTTCAGGTTTCCCATGCCTGGACCCTGTCCACGTCATGGAGAATATTGTGAACACAGTGTTGACAAAGGGTGGGGCGAGCTGGGAGTGGGCGCCCTGGGATCCGGGGCCCCTCTCACCCATCACAGCCTTGCCCACCCCAGGGTGTGCGGTACCTACACCATCGGCATCTCCCCCATGGCCGCCTCAAGTCTCGCAACTGTGTGGTGGACGGGCGCTTTGTGCTGAAGGTCACGGACCACGGCTATGTGGAGCTCCTGGAAGCACAGCGGGCCCCCTGCGCCCAGCCAGCCCCCAAAGGTCAGTTTAGGGAGGGCTGGGGCCTGCCTGGGGGTCCTGAGGCCTCTGTTGATCTCAGCTGCACAGGGAGGTTCTGAAGAGGCAGGGTTGGAGTGAGGATCCTCGGGCACCTCCCTGAGCCCTGGGGGTTCTTACCAGGGGGACCACAGGCTCTGAAACCCTCCCAGGGCAGCGGGGAGGGTGGTGAGGACACCAGGGCCCCCCCTCTAACCTGTGGTGTGGCCCTGCCCTGCACTGCAGAGCTGCTGTGGACAGCGCCTGAGCTGCTACGGGCACCCGAGGGGCTCAGGCGCGGCACTCTCAAAGGGGACACCTTCAGCCTGGCCATCATCATGCAGGAGGTTCTGACCCGAGGCCCGCCCTATGGCTCCTCAGGTTTCTCTGCCGAAGGTATGCCTCCTGCTCCCCATTCTCTGGTTGGCCCCTGCCCGGAGCCCTGGTTTCCGTGGGCTGCTCGGTGACCCCCAGGCAAGCAACCTGGGGACAACCCAACCTCAGCGGGGACATGATGTCCATTCAGACCGAAGCCCTACCCCAGCTCCTCCCTCACTTGCTGGGTGACCTAGCACGAGTCTCTTACCCTCTCTGAGCCTCAGTTTTCTCATCTCTGAACTGGGGTGCCGATGAAAGCTTACCAGGTCCTGAAGTGGCTGGCTACTGGCTATTTGGGGGGTGGGTTCCCAGCTCAGGGTGGGTGGGGTAGGAGGTCACCAATACATCAGGCAGACACAGTCTCTCTTCTGGCCTCAGCGACAGGGCCCACCAGTTTCCCCACAGTATTCCTGGTCAGGGGGTCCCTGGTCAGGGAAGTTCCCCTTCCATCTCTGCCCAGGTCCAGCCACCTTCCCGACAGCCACCCCAAGATCCTCACCCCCAGGGTGGGGCAAGGGCAGAGCCAGCCCACCAGCCCTTCTCCTTAGCCCCCCTTCACCCCCCTCCTGGTTATCATCAGCTCCAGATGACACCCAGCCCTACTTCCTGTCACGCGGGGACACTGCTTAGTGACTTAGGGGCATCTGGGCCCCAGGTTTCTGGGGTAAAAGAGTAGGAAGGCAGCAGGGGTGGGGTGGGGGGTGGGGCTGCCCAGACCAGGGCCTCCACACACCTCTAGGCCCTGCTTCTGAGTGATAGGTGGGGTTTGAAAGACGAATGGCTGGTACAGGGCTCTCTCCAGCCCCTCCTGCACGGGGCTTCACGGGGCTGCAGGGGCAGGCAGGGGTGCCAGTACAGGGCTCTCTCCAGCCCAGGGCTCTACAGGGCTGTGGGTGCAGGCAGGGGTACCGGTACAGGGCTCTCTCCTGCCCCTCCAGCCCGGGGCTCCACGGGGCTGCGGCAGGGATGCGGAAAGGCAATCTTGAAGTTGCGTCCTCTCCCCCAGTTCAAGATGAAGAAACTATGGGCACGGAGCTGACTCTGGCTCAGAACGGTCTTACAGGACCAAGGGGAACTCACTGCTCCTCAGGGATTCGGAAACCACTCATGCCCTCTGAGCGCGGACAGCCAAGTCTGTCCCGTGAAGCGGCCAGTGGGTTGGAAGTGCCGACTCTGAAGTTGGCGGGCTGTGGCTTCACCCACTGTGTCAGCAGGGCCCTTGTCAAGACAGAGAGACACTGACAGGGTCACGCAGTAGGAGGGCACTCCCCCCACCCCCACCTACTGTCTGGCTACCAGGGTCAGACCCTTCTTCCTGGTGGCCCCTTAGAACACCACTCGGCGCCTGCCTGCTACTCCTGGGACCCCTGCCTCCCAGGATCAGTGTCAGGATTGAGGGTCCCCTCTGGCTCCTCGCCACCCTCTGGAGGTCTAATGGTCATCCAGGAAGGAGGCTGGGCCATCCGAGGTGAAGAGGAACTGCTCGGCGGTGCCC